CATTTCTATCAAGACTTCTTGAACCTACGTGTTTTTCTAACGTCATGAATAAAAATATTTTAGGTAGGGAAGTTTGTCTGGTGTAAATACTGTTATTTATTTTATTGTCTGTTGTTATCGTAATATATCTTTTACTCAATTCACTTTCACTATTTTAAGTTTTAAAATATACTTTTTTTAGAGAGAAATACTCTCAATTTATCTATTTTTTTTCGCTTCCTGAAAGTTTTGGAAATTTATCCTCTCATAAACAGCTCTTTTTGATTGTTTCTTTCTGCACTAGACATTGTTGAGCACTCGGCCTAAGAGTCAGCCAACAGAAATAATTTTAGCAAAAACTATCTGAATATTATTTATATAACTAAATTATATAATATGCACTAACTCTTTAAAACTTCACCAATTCCTTTGTTTAAATACTTGTTTCTGTTTTGTGTAAGTTTCATGACATTAGTTTTGGTCTCTGATTTGTCAATTTACACATTATTAGGACTATTTTCACCTTCTACTTTCACCCAGTTAAGGAATGAAACAGCAAAATGGTTTTACAAAACCAAAAACATCAGAAAAAGAAAGCTAAGTTTAACCTTTAACCTGCCATGTCCACTGTAGCACCTTTTAGTATATAAAACTAACTGTTGATTGTTATTATTTAAATCTGTCAGAAGAAACTAACATATGGTGTAAGATTTCTGACAGATCTTATGCATAAAACCGAATTTTCTCGTTAATAATTTTAAAAAATTACCTTATCTAATTTAACTAACAATTGGTTCACTCGTTCGTCTGGTGCATCTCTACCACGAACAGAAGCATGAAATCTTCCGTGTAGCTGATAGATGGCGGTAACGACGTCAAGCATTTCGAAACGACTAACATAGCCATCGTTGTCAATATCGTACAACTTGAAAGCCCCTGGTGATAAGAGAAAAAACAAAACAAAACCCGAAACAAATATGCTTTCTTAAATTCTTAAATAGTACCTTATAGAAAAACTTTTAGGAAAATAAGTGAGCAATGGAAAATTTTACTTACAGAGTGCTATAAAAGCTTTGATTTTATTATATTACATGATAGTGCTTAATACATGTTAAGGCTTTCTAAGCTTTTAATTTTTTTAAAATGAAATTAATTTTCAACAAAATTATCACTGAAGTAGAATGTATAATAGTACCTTCATTTTGTGTCCGAAATGTAACAACTAGTTATTATTTCATAATAATTAATGTTAGTTATTTTATTTATATGAAAGCACCGATGGCTTAGCGATAAGTGTGAGGAATTATAACGCTTGAATTCAGGGTTCCATCCCCGCAATGAATAAGCACACGTAGCTCATTGTTTACCTATGCGCTCCAACAGAAACAAATTTATTATAAACAAATGTAAAGACAGAATATAGGAAAACTTGGAAGGCTCCCCAGTCATTATAACAAAGTTTCAATACAAATAATTTCAAATGGTTTGTTGCAAAGCATTTATTGGGACACTTGTGTCTAATAATGCAAGTAGAAAGCAGAAAGGCCAATAGAATCCACTTCGGTTGCTTTAAAGACACTATTAAGTTCATTTGAATATCGTTAATCAATAAAATGTCATTGCATTTTAAATCCATAGTTCATTAGTTTTATATTCGAAACTATTGAAAATTATTGTTACAGAAACTGTCCGTTAAATATATGAGATTAATTTTACCAATATATCTAATATTATAATAATTTGAATATATATATTGCACTAAAATACTCACATTTTAATTTGTCATCGACAGAACCGTGTGTTGTTACGGCGATGGCAGTAATGAATTCCTTAAACGTGACGACACCATCCTTAATACAATGAAACTAAAATTAGCCCAATCTTTGTTGCATGTAGGTTTTCAAGTTGGTATACGGATTAAAAAATGCTTTCTAGATTAGCATAATTATGTTACTTAAAATAAAAAGAGTGAACTTATTTTATTCATTTAATTGAATATAAGTGCAAAACCAACATTATATACATATCTGCACATTTTCTAAAGTGTGCAATATCAGATATTCATAAATTTCTTTTTTGTGTGTGTTGAAAACAATATGCTTTTCATATAAAGGTACCAGTTGATAGTTTCAGTTACCAACAGCATAAAATATTTGCTTCACATATATATATATATATATATATATAAATAACTATTCTTCATTTCACTTGAAAGAAATCATTTTCATTAAAGCAGAAACATTTAGATAAGTAAAAAATGTTAATTGCAAAATACTATTTTCTATGATATAATTGGAACATTATTTGGGTGTTGTAAGTTGGTTTTACAATTAAACCAATAATATACGTTTAATTGATAATCGTTGTGTTTGCGTATAATTATCATTCAGTTAACTTTGATCAAAATAACACTAATATAAACATTCGAATCATATTATAAAAACAAAATATTAGAGATATAGAGATCACAAAATGTGGTAAAATCATAAAATTATATTCCAGCCATTAGTACTTAGCATAGAAATATGTTCAGGGCTTCTCGGATTTGTTAACTTACCTTATTAGAATCAAATACGTTAAAAATATAGTCAACGAAAGGAGATGGATTTCCAGCTGGAAAAAACTGACCGTAAATTTTCCTAAAAACCTGAAAAAAATTTAAATATTCATTTCCACCTCTTTAACGTTTTACGTCAAAACTTTCTTGCACTTATAGAAACATTTATTTTCTATAAGATATTTTTTTTAGAAATTTTCTCTTCCTGATTAAATACCGCCCATTTCACAAACCTTAAAAAAACCAACTAATTTGTTGTTGTATGCTTTCTTTAGCTTCGTTTGTTTCCGTCTTACCTCAGTCATACGTGATTATAATCTGCGGACTTATAACATTAGAAGCTGGGTTTCGATACCGTGGTGGGAAGAGCACACATTGTGTAGCTTTGTGTTTACTTACAAGCAAACAATGTGATTATAGATCGTGTCTTTAATGGATAATCTGTTAAAAAAAATACCATTAGAAGCTGGGTTTCGATACCCGTGGTGGGAAGAGCACACATTGTGTAGCTTTGTGTTTACTTACAAGCAAACAATGTGATTATAAATCATGTCTTTAATGGGTAATCTGTTAAAAAAATATGCCGCATCCTGCTTTTCTTGGCTATTTTTGTGTAGTCCTAAACTGAAATATTATAGCTTAATTTAATTGACTGATAGCGTAAATGCAAATTATCTGAAAAGAAAAATAAACTAAAACTTTGAATAGTTTACTAAAGATTCTCTAGGCAGAAAAGGCAACGCTATTTTTTAGGATATTATAGGCCTATTTGAAAACACTAGAAACGTTCAAAAATGCAATCTAAATAAAATACCACTGGATATCTTAGTTAATCACAAAGTTATAGAAGGGACTATGCATGCTCTGTTCACCCCAATATGGAAACCCGACTTTTAGCGTTATAACCTTCTAGACTTGTCAGTGGGAAATAGTGTGTGACTCTATTGCAGTTCAAACGTTTATATGGCAGAATATGTTATTATAAGAGTTTAGAAAAATAATCTCTCATCAAAGAGTGAAGATAGAAACGAATCTTCGTGTGAAATTTACAAGCATACTGAAGTATCTCAGTAAAACCTGTGTGAAAACACAGACTCACTATGTTTTGTACCGTAACAGTAATTCGATCAATCAGAATTGTTATTTGAAGCTGCCAGTTTAACCCGATTAAATAGAGGCCAAAAATCCCGAGTAGGTGACTTAGGCACAACTGAGGTCCCCCCACCCCCACAATCAGACGAAGTGAAAGTTAAATTTCTAATGGTACAATTTTTATATTTCATAGTGTTTTGAAATTTTTTATTTGATCTTAATGACAAAGATGATTATTTTCAAGCTGAAAATTAATCATTAAATTTAACAAGTCTATCATTACCAATTTTAATATGCACGCATTGAAATCACAAGTTAGAAAATTCTGCTTCTGACCACATCGTTTAAAGAAGTTTGTCTGAAGATAAGCACAAAGCTACATTATGGACTATTTGTGCTCTGCCCACCACAGTATCAAAACCCAGTTTCTAGCGTTGTAAGTCCGCAGACATACCGCTGTGCCACTAGGAAGCGCGCTTAAAGAAGAAGAAACACTGATAAAGAAGAACTTGTGGTAAAAATTGTGTTGTTTTGATTATTTATATTTGTAGAGTTTACAACTTCTAGACTGCAATATAAAACTAAGTAATGTAAATAAATATTTGGCAACAAAATTAAAATTCTTGTAGTATGTTTTGCTCAAACATCACACACAGCTTTAATAAAAAAGTAAATTAAATCCTGCAAACTTTATCTAAATAGAAAAATATAAAGTTTCTGTTTTGGAGGGAGGCGAGAAGTTCCCTTTCCCCATCTTGCTGAGTGACCCCCAAATATATTCTCGTCTAATTACCAGTTGGCTACTATTTCTAGCCCCAGATCAAATAGGACATTTTACCGATGTTTGAAATTAACCGAACAGAACAAAGTCTGCCAGAAACAAATATAAAACTACTGGATGTATTTAACTAGACTGTGGCTATATATGCACCAAATTCCTAACGCATTATGAAACATTTTATTTCATGTTTGTTTGTTTGAAATTATGCACAAAGTTACACAATGAAATATCTGTGCTCTGCCCACCACGGGTATCGAAACCCGGTTTCTAGTGTTGTAAGTCCGCAGACATACCGCTGTGCCACTGGGGGGCATTTCATGTTTCAAATTCAAAATGTTTAAACTTTCGTATAAAACATTTCAATTTAGAGCAACGAAAGCCTGACACCTGACATTTATAAAATGATATAGTGTGAAGTCGTTGCAGTGATGTTTACAGACAATCAATAACAGATTAGGGAGAAGAAGATATCAAGTCTAAACTGCTGAGTGGTGTGAACGGCAACGTAATTCAAAGATTGTGTGAACGGCAACATAAGCCGTAATTCAAAGAACACTAACGATACACGTTAACAAAAATAAAAAAATTAGAGGAGAGGGACAGCCAAACAGGGAAGAAGCTGAATAAACATGGAACAGTTATTATTTACGCTTTTGTGTAAACACATTTGTTATCTGAAAGCCGCAAGGTTAATTTCCGAACAGTTATTATTTACGCTTTTGTGTAAACACATTTGTTATCTGAAAGCTGCAAGGTTAATTTCCGAACAGTTCACATAAGTTTAGTAATGTTACATTCGTTTGAGTGTGTTTTTATTGTTTTTTTTTTGGGAGTGCGGGTAGCTCAATGTATATACATATAGAGAGAGCACCACCAAGATTGAATCCTGTTTTGTTTTCATTTTTATTCTCGTTGGGTGGTGTCGCTTTTGCAGCTTTAAGACACTCTTCAATCAACCTAATTAAAAAAATAATACATAAAATATATATAATCATTGTCTGTTTGTTTCAGAGCAAACCAAACTGAGCTATCTGCCGTGTCCACCGCAGAGAATCGAACCACGGATTTTAGCGTTGTAAGTCCATAAACTGGGAAATATGTTTAACTATATATACATATCTGTGTGTATGTGTGTGTGTGTGTGTAACTCATACATCTCAGTAAATCAGTAAACATATCTTAAAATAATTAGTAATAAATGATGATTGTATATCGTATAAAATCCATAAAGAAATAAAACTTGTAAATGATAAAACATAACTTAAAAACAAAAAAATCTACAGGTTATTTAAATCAGATTCAAAGTATTTCCAATTTTTATTAAAGTAATGTTAGTTGTTGATTATCATAAAACCAAAACAAAAAGAAAGGTTATTGTAATAAGCCATGGGTAATTATGATATCATTGTAAAAACGTTTTGGGCTGTGATTATGAAACTTAAGCTGATTCATTTTAAATCCCAAATTCTCCGTTTTAGTAGAGTAGCTTTTCATCTATATTGTACATTTTAACACATAAATACAGTTGTTAGAACTGCTAGAGAAAAATCTGTAGATTTTAAGATAAAATAGTTCTACCTGTATTTCTAATAATATCAGGGTTGGTAATATATCCTATATTACGTTTGTTTGAATTTATGCACAAAGCTACACAATGGGCTATCTGTGCTCTGCCCACCACGGGTATCGAAACCCGGTTTCTAGTGTTGTAAGTCCGCAGACATACCGCTGTGTTACTGGGGTGCTCCTATATTACAGAGTTGACATCTTAAGTTCTTATACTGAGTAATGAATTTTTTTTCTATTTTCAGTATTAATATTATTTGCAAAAAAGTAAACGGTTAAAATTTTAGGTTGTTTATAAACTAAAACGATATTGATTACGGCTCTTTTTATAGTGTTAGGTGCAATAGGAAGATTGGGGTATATTTAATGATAACTGGTAACAATTATGACTGATTTCCAGTTTTTTTGTATCATATAATTATCCCCGGTGGGTCAGCGGTAAATCTACAGACTTAAGTTTGCTAAACTCCGTGGTTCGATCCTTTACGGTGGACACGGTGTAGATATTCCAATGTATAGCTTCGCCCTAAAACAAACAACCAGTTTTCTTCCTCGGTGGCTCCGAGGTAAACCAAAGGGTTTCTAACGCCAAAATCAGGTTTTAACATCCGCGATAGGTAGAGTACAGATAGCCCATTGTGCAGCTATGTGCTTAACGACAAACAAATAAAACCATATCATTAGACGCGAAATATACAATTGTTAATTAGGTCCTTTGAACAATTTCTATTTAATAAACAAAAATATTTTGAGTTAATTTAGCCTAATATTTCTTTATTGCTTACACTATATACAATTCTCATTGCTAATGCATATGTGATATTTATTTGACGTGTCTAGGTTGTTATTTCTAAAATCTAAATGAGAGTGGGAATTGTTTGGTTTATAAAAAATTTGAATTTCTGAAGAGCCACTGTCAGTTATTTCAGTTAATATATCTAAGAAATGTATTGTTTTATAAGCCTTTTCAAAAATGAATTTAATGTTTAGATCTAAATCATTTAAACTTGATTAAAAACAAGCTAGTTTAAATCGACATTCCAAGTAAGAAAATGGACATCAGTGTTTCTGAGCAAGTGCGTCATCACATATGAGATAACAGCGACTTTATTCTCTGATAAAAAACGTTTTACGTCTCTTCTGAGAAACCTATTATTAAAAATAACGGTCCGGCATGGCCAGGTGGTTAAGAAGCTCGACTCGCAATCTGAGGGTCGCGCGTTCGAATCCCCGTCCCACCAAACATGCTCGCCCTTTCAGCCTGGGGGCGTTATAATGTGACGGTCAATCCCACTATTCGTTGGTAAAAGAGTAACCCAAGAGTTGACGATGGGTGGTGATGACTAGTTGTCTTCCCTCTAGCCTTACACTGCTTAATTAGGGACGGCTAATGCAGATAGCCCTCGTGTAGCTTTGCGCGAAATTCAAAGAAACAAACTGAAATAACATGGGTAGGTGTCATTTTTGTAATAAGTCATTATTATAGATAAAACCATTATTTTTCAATACTAATTTTACAGCTTCAATTAAAAATTTCTTAGTATTTCTGGAATACAAAAGTCCTAGATAAGGTCTTCAAAAATAATTTACAACTGTACTACCAAGTTCATATAAAATAATAATACATAAAGATAAAACAGTTAGTGTAATTAAACTAGTGTTAGGACCAAATTCAGTAAGCAATTCTGATATATAGTCCATATTATCTCTCGCATAATTATTAACTTCAATAATATACGGTTTTAACAGTTCATCAACAAAACAACTTGTACTTGTGAGTAGAACATTGGTGGGCTGCAACAATCGGTATACTTGGACAACAAAAAGCGCGAAGCTACACAATAGATTGTTTTCGCGCTGTTCACCTAGGGGTCATTGAATCTAGGCTTTTATCGTTGTAAGCACGGGAAGGAAGAGGTGTACATAGCACTTTATCCTCATAGATCTCGATCAAGATCAAATCAGATATCAATAGAAAAAAAAACAAGGGTGAACTTACCGCTGACCCACCGGGAGACTAACGGGTAGGTTCAACATGTTGTACGTAATCATTGTTTAATTAGAATATCCATTAGTAATATCTTGGCATTTATGTATTTTTGGTGAAGCATAAAATACACTTGTATTTTTATCTTGTTTGAAGTTAAGCACAAAGCAACACAATGGGCTATCTGTGCTCTGCCCAACTCTGGTATCGAACCCCGGATTCTAGCGTTGTAACTCTGCAGACGTGCCACTGGGGGTGGGTGGGGTGGGGGTAAATATACTTTTACAATTAAGTACAATTAACTATTTATTATATTTCCAATTTATTAAGTTGTCCCTTTTATTTTGTAATAAATGATTTAACGTTTTGTATTAAGATTCTTATACGAGTTTAGATATATATATTCCAAGAACCAAATCTAGTTTGCTCAGTGAAATGTTTAATAAAAAAGAGGCGAAAGAAAAATGTTTAATTTTTTAACTTTTTTATTATTGTTAATTTAAATGAATAGATAAAAACACATACATAAAAGGATAAATACCTGTTTCACATCTTTAAGGATAGTTAGCAGTTTCCAAAGTAAGACGTACACTTTTTTATAAGACCCATAGAATAACAAAATTTCCCGCGTTTCTTTGACCTTAAAGCTTTATATGTGTTTCAAAATACCTGTGTGTTAAACTAGGTGGCATTTAAAATGGTTTTAAATTTGTTAATAAAATAATTTTCATAAATTTATTTTATTCTTTTACCAGAATACCAAATGGAAATATGTTAAAAAAAGCTTCTTCTAAACTATGGTATTTCTCCATAATACAATTATTAATGTATTAATTAACAGGTAATAGGCTATTATTTGCATTTTTGCCATGTGATTTATGTAAATGTATTCTTAAACGTAAGCTTTTTTGTTTCTTCAACATATATTTGCTGACAACAAATAAAAGATAACACACAAATAATATTACATGAATTGCAACTAGATTTAAAGTTTATATTTGTTTGTGGTTAAGCACAAAACCACACAAAGGGCTATCTGTGCTCTTCCCACCACGGGTATCAAAACCCGATTTCTAGCGTTGTAAGTTCGCAGACATGCCGCTGTGCTACTGGGGGGGGGCCTAAAATTTACGAACAATATTTCATCTCCATTAGGGCCTGTAATGTATTTACTGTATGCAATAAATTCCTGTATATTTTCTTTAATTTCAATTTCTGTGGTAAAGGTAGCTTAATTTCCTCTTTAGACAAAGATTTTGAACTCTGTGCTTATATACTGTACAGACTAAGTACTAGTCTCACGCGCTAGAGACGTAGAGTTGTGACTGCTGTGATGACGTTTACCTTTTGAAACTGCATTTTACAAAATACTTTTTATTTATATTCGTATCCAATGGCAGTTAAGTTTGAAAGAAATTGATCACAATATTACCTGCACTAGAAACTAAAGACGTTATAAATACAATGACATTTAAATTTGAAAGAAATGCATCCCAATATCACCTGTACGCGAACCTATCGATGTGATAAATGTGAATTGATATGGAGGGAGAATATATGCTAAATCTATGCAAAATTAGAATCATACTTGTATCTAATAAGTTTAAAACAAATTTGTAGTTTTTTTACATATTATTCTTTTTTTCTAAGTTTTCAGAACCGTTACATGTACATAGTCAAGATAGCCACATGCCCTATGCATCTTAATAAAGGTACGTACTTAAGAATAAAAATCGACAAATCATAGCGAATATAATATATGGCTTTAATATTATATTAAATGTTTGGGGGAAGTGGGGAGTTCTCTCAATTATTGAAAAGTTATCATTCGAATCTGTGTTATTTTCAAGTATTTCATTATGAAATACCTGTAATGTGTTTCAAGTCATTACTTGTAATTCATAAATATGCTTTTGTTCTCTTTACTACATTTCATAAAAACTACGAACATAAGCTTACCTCCTTTGTCATGTGACCGTCAGGGCAGTCTTGCATAAAGTCTTTATACCTGTGAATATAAATTATTCTTTGATTTTTTTCCATATAAACGCACTCTTTTAAATAAATTGTCTACTTGTTTTCAAAAACAACAGCAATTAATTAAATCGTTCAAAATAACTCTAAATCGCTCTTCTTTTCCTCATGAGTCGGTTATTCAAGACAATGACATTATGTTAATAGTTTCTTTATTTACTGAATAAAAATATTCTTCGAAAACAAATACAATTCCATACTTAATTAGGTTCAATACTTCGACCACCTGAAAGTATCTCAGTCTCAAACCAATCTGTAGGCATGATTTTCAAGAGTTGGCGGTAGGGGTTGCCAGATGGTTACCTTCCATCTAGTTCAGCAGTTCAAAATTATGGACGGCGGCAGATAGGCTTAGTAGCTTTGTCATAAACAAACAAACGTTCGCCACTTGTTTAATAGTGTTTGTTATTGAAGGTTATCATTAATATTATCTGTTAATAACGAAAGCTTACTGTTAGTGAACATCCATCCTATAGTTGAATGAGAAATATTAACTCACACTCTAAAGAAACAAGTGTAAATAAATTTCACTGTAATAATAACTAACAAAAGCTTCTTCAGAAGTTAGAGTTACTCTTCCAAGGATGTAAAAAACAGTTTGACTATGCTTAAGCTAATTTACTTCTCCAGAGTTTAAAGTTGTTAATACGCTAATTTGTTTAGATAATACAACTTTTAAAATGATAGAATTATATACATATATATTCCATTTTACAAAGCGTTAACTCGTGGCCACTTTGGCATGTTCGCCCCATAATGTTAGGCTGTTATAAAAAAAACTATAAACTCTATATATACACCAAAAGTGTTTCTAAGTTCCTGTTTCAGTCATGGGAACACGTTCATCTGTTATCAAAATGTCAAAAGCTTTCTTAGAGCTGTAGCTTTACTGCACATAAAAGAGATATTTTGATATCGCCTAAGTCATTTGCTCGATTTTCACATGCACGTGGAAAAATAGTTCATTTAGACACCACTCTTTGCACCTTATTCGCTCGGTAATAAACCCGCAGTTTTGCTGAGTAGTTCTGTGTTTGTCTTGAGTTTTAGTCTTGTTCCAACTTTCTAAGTTTAAAGCCTTGTCCTAAACATATTCAGTAAAGTTGCCATACATACATGGTTCTTCAGAAGTTTTTTTTTAGCCGCTTCGAACATCAATATAATTAGTTTACGCTGAATATGCCAACAAAATCATAGGGTACCCGAATCCGTGTTCAATGGAAATAGTCATCGAAGGGTGCTATATCTGCTTAAACGTGGCTATTATTCACATCAACGATGGCCTGCGTTTTTGGGATGAGGTCTCTCATGGTTGTCAACATAACATGAGTTATATCTTACTTTAAGCAACCCTGTAGCCAAAAATCAAGCGGTTCATCCGACAGAGGCCAAGTGGTTAGAGTGCTCAACTCGCAGTCTGCGGGTTCAAATTCCCGTCCCACCAAACCTGCCTGCTCTTTAAGCAGTGGCGGTGTTATAATGTGACGGCCAATCCCACCATTCGTTGGTAAAAGAGTAGCCCAAGAGTTGGTGGTGATTGGTGATGACTAGCTACCTTCCCTCTAGTCTTACACTGCTAAATTAGGGAAGGTTATAGCAGATAGCCCTCGTGTAGCTTTGCGCGAAATTCAAAACTAAAACCCTTAAACGATCCTTTCAGTTGACCACGAATTCATGTTTATGATGCTTGTATTAGTATATCTACCATGAAATATTGCTCTATGAATAACATTATTCATTTTATTAATGTTCAACACGCCAAAAGTCTTTATAACAATCCTATCAAGCTAACCAACTAGTGTGTGCGTTTCCCAGTATTCTGTACAGTTAAATCTTAAGTCTAATTTTACTTTCATTTAACTTTATTTCTTAAAATAGGTTCTATTAGTGTACTAGCTAAAGCGTAATTATAATATCTGTATGCTTTAAAGTTATGTTTCATACATACATAATAAATACTTGCAATTTGTGCTGCACGTCTGGTTTTGTTCTTTTAATTCATTATTTAAACCATTTATTACGTTTTTACTAAACTAAATTCCCGACCATCAATTTTTAGAAAACTTTTAACCATGTGTTGACTTATCTGCCTTTTCAAGTACTTTTCATATTTCAATGACCCTGGATAATTTTAGGCTTATGAATGGATATAAAATATAAAAATTTGCGTTTCGTTCGTTTGTTTGTTTTTAATTATGCACAAAGCTACACAAGGGTTATCTACTGCTACTATCGAAACCCGGTTTCTAGCGTTGTAAGTTCGCAGACATGCCGCTGTGCTACTAGGGGCCTAAAGTTTATGTTTGTTTGTTTTTGGTTAACCACAAAGCTCTGTGTTCTGCCACCACGGTATCGAAACCCAGTTTCTAGCGTTGTAAGTCCGCAGACATGCCGCTGTGCTACTAGGGGCCTAAAGTTTATGTTTTTTGTTTTTGGTTAACCACAAAGCTCTGTGCTCTGCCACCACGGGTATCGAAACCCAATTTCTAGCGTTGTAAGACCGTAGACATACCGCTGTGCCACTGGGGGCTTACGTTTCGGACCATTAAAGTAAAAGTTTTTTATCATTTTGAAATTTTAGCAGCACAGATGAACTATGCAGCATTTATTACTTACCTTACTAGTCTTAACACTTACTTTAATGAATTTAGATAATTTTTGAGGTGATAGAAAATTTAATCATATCTAGATTGAACTAGACGCATATGTGTCGCGTTACTATGTTCAGTAATATCCACATGTTCTGCATGTAGTAGCTGTATCTATGAAAAGTCCTTAACTGTTAGCTAGCTTATCGCCTGTAAATTGTGTTAGATTGGAAATGTTCTTAATATTTTTATTGTGTACATAGTCTCTACCTGTTGGGTATGAATCTAATATTTGGAGTTTACTTAGTAGTTCAAATACATTCTTTAAGAAATCCGTTAGTGGACTTTTACAGTTTCCGTGTAGCTTCAAGCTAAGCTCGCAATATAAATACGTCCAGTGTTGGGTAGTACTATGTGGCTAGTTTTATGCTAAAGCACTACACACATGCATGTCCTGTGTTGATTCGTGCCATGTTTCCAGTTTTATCCAAAAGCACAACAATGGGATTTTGCAGTGTTCACTTCCGACTAACAAATTAAGATAAAAGTGATACGAGAATTTAACTAAAACTTGTGACACGTGGACATTTATCAAACTATATTCTTGTCAAAAATTTAACTTTAACTTGATTTAAAAATTTTGAAACATATTTTTAATTTATCTTTTCTTTTTCAGGAATTTTTAGTTTTCTTAGAGGCAGCGATTAGTATGTATATAATTTTTGTACAACTTTCATTTCGCCAGCCTTGATGGACTAATGAGCTTTAACTCAATTCATAAAAATACCCATAACACGTAATTTATTCTTTGAACAATACAAATGTTTTTATTCCATCTGTTTATACTTTTTATAAGGATTTTAAATCTTCTAAATTTGACGCTCTGTAATACCTTTATTTAGGCCAGCTTCTGAGAAGCTTGTAGGTAATTTTTAAGAATTATAAAACTTACCATTTCTGAAGCTGTTGTGTTTTAACTGTAATAAAAAAAAGGAGAATAAGTTTACAAAATTACGTGTTCAATGGCATCATATATTAACATTTACTTACTTAATAAATGCTATCTGTTATTAGACAACAAGAGAGCTGCACTGGGGAGAAATTATCAACTAAAATAATTAATTTCTTGAATTAGATTTTAGTGTTATCTGCGTTAACAGCTTCTGAAACAGACTTTTTATGATATCTTACCACTTGGCATAATTCTATAATTCTGTATAATTTTAAAATATGTCAAAATCAATGATAAATCCCAGGATATAAGCATTTCCAGAAATTTACTGTGAGTTGTCCCTTCTTTTACATTGTCGAAGACTGTGCAACAACTGTGATTGTTATGATTAAACTTTTTTTTCTGTTTTAAAGCTTGCCAAAGTACGTTTAAAATCTTTCAATAAAAACTACATTTTAGTTCAGTATAAATTAACTAGTTTCCCTGCAAGTTTATCAACTGTATTACACAGAATATAATATAATATAAGTTAATTAGTTCCCATGCAGGTTTATCAACTGTATTATATTGAATACAACATAAACTAACAAATTTCTATGCAGGTTTATCAACTGTTTTACACTGAATACTACCATGTTAGTAAATAAATTTCCATAAAATGTCGTAGAGTGTATTAACTGATAACTCTTGCTTGAAATCAGAAGTGTGGATATTTATACATATATATAGTGAATTTTACATTGGCCTCTGACTTTGATCCAACATATAACAATTCCAAATCTCGAACAGTTATCAAACTTTATTTACTAATTTTTGAAGTAATTAAGGTATATGGCAATACACTTGGTGCAAAAAAGGAGATTTAATATTTTCAACTACAATTATTCTCTTGGATATGATACTTCAGAAAACTACCACCTTTGGGTTTTTACATACACCTTTCTTATCCCCATGTCTATACACCAGTTGATCAGTACAAAAAATGTACAAATACTCACAGTTTGTAGTTGACTCCAACTCTTCCAGCTCGTTTTTATTTAGTTTGCTTATGTTTCTGCAACTGAAAAGGAACGAAGCTGCAGTTCCCATACTGGTTAACTTATCATTACCGTTTAATTAATTATAATTAATTCTTTGTTGAGATTTACAATGTGTTCAATTGAGTTTCTTGTTATCCGAGGAAGGAAAGCAACACATATGCTAGGGAATTTTTGCCACCCTAGTACTGGTACTACACTTCTCATCGCCCTCTATCGTCTTTTCATAAACACTCCGTTGTCTTGGTAACGTAATCGTGTGAGTGCTATTTTTCAGATATTTTATCAAACGTTAACATAAATAGTTCGTGTTATTAACCCCTCTTTCCTTTCTGTTTTAAATTTCATGTTCCAGTTATGAATACATTATTCCTCTTACGACGAAGTATATTTGTTACATTAAAACACCCCCTTCTTGGTGTGGGCAGTTACTTAATAGAATGTTAGTCAGTATGTTAACAGTTAGGTTCTGTTGTATTCATATGAAGCAGATCTTCTCAGTAAAGAAACGATGAAGTGACTGATCACATTCTTGTTTCCATCGTACGATATTGAATTTACTTGGAACTGATACCAATTTAATTTTGTTATATTCCGTTATATATATATCACACAAATAAAAGAATAAGCTCTGTTACTACAAATAAATAAATAAATATATATATAATTATGTAGAATATTATCAAAATGTTACCAAGGTGGTTATCGAGAGCAAGTTAAATTCCCTTCCCTAATAAGTATTCTCAGTGACTACAAGGTATTTTGGGCCAGGATAGCAGTAATTCTCCAAGTAACTTTTACTACTTAGATATACCGAACACACAGGTAGGTAACTAGTATATCATCACAAACAATGATGAAAATGTTGTGGGGTGCAACCACAAAGTGTGGTTATATTCTATCGTTTAGTATTTATAAAACTAAAAAATATATATAAATATTTACAATATGATCCTGTCAAGTGTTTATTCATCATGTAGCTCTGTCAAACATGTTAGAACATTCATCATGTAGTTCTGACGAAGATGTTAAATAATCATCATGTAATTGTGCCAAATATGTTAGAATCAGTGTTCCCTCTAAGCTGCCCGCCGCACAACAACCAATCAAATGCCGCGCACTTCGTTATTACAGCCGCGCAGATCCTCAGTAATGGTGAGGGGTCTCAATAAGTTGACGACCTTAATGACCCTGGCAGTCGATAGGCCTATATCCCAATTAACCAACCGGTGGCATTGAAAAGCGGACTAATGATCCAGTAGGGTCAATGGTTTGATGGTCTAAAAATACCCCCCCACCCTAAAACAACTGGTATTGCACATCCTCACATTGCCTTGATACTAGTGCACATGAAAAAGTTCATTCCGTATATGGATAGAAAAACATTAGAAGGAACATTGGTTAGAATATTCACCACTTGATTCTGTCGAACATGTTAGAATACTCACCATATGATTCAACCAAAAAAAGTTTAAATATTCACCTTGTGATTATGTTAAATATGTGAGAATATTCATCCTTAAGTCTGCAAAACATGTTAAGATATTCATCATATAACTCTGCCATGTATATTACAATATTCACCATATAATTGTGATAAACAAGCTAGAATATTCGTCATGAAACTGTGCCATGTATATTACAATATTCACCATATAACTTTGATAAACAAGCTAGAATATTCGTCATGTAACTCAGCCATGTATATTACAATATTCACCATATAATTGTGATAAACAAGCTAGAATATTCGTCATGTAACTCAGCCATGTATATTACAATATTCGCCATATAACTTTGATAAACAAGCTAGAATATTCGTCATGAAACTCTGCCATGTATATTACAATATTCACCATATAACTTTGATAAACAAGCTAGAATATTCGTCATGTAACTCAGCCATGTATATTACAATATTCACCATATAACTTTGACAAAGATGCTAGAATATTCATCATTTAACCGTTCTAACTATATTAAAATATTTACAATCTAATACTACATAATTAAAATATCCGTAATGCAACCCTGCTGAACGTGTTAAAATATTCAAATGTAATTTGGCCATGTTATACTGAATGTATTGGAGAACTCATTTATATAAATACTCTTGGATATCAGCAAACATTCAGAGCTAACATCATCTATGAAATTAGTTAATAATTATATTCATTATTTATTTATTCTTCGAACTTAGAGTAAGTAAAAGTAACTTACGTTGTCTTTATGTTCTGAAATGATGCATTGATATCTTCAAGTAATGTCTTGATATAATGACAGTAAGTAAATATTATTTCTCAGTTCTACGTTAATGTAGAGCAGGGGTCACCAAACTTTTTTCACAGCGGGCTAGATAACTGAGATCATGGCGAGCGCGGGCCGCATAACCATTTTGTTCAATACAATATAGTGAATACACAAAAAATAAAGACAACAAACGTGT